ATTAGTGAACAGTCACTTTTTAAATGGGTCCTCCTGCTCTTTGAGTAAGAGTAACCCATCTTCAAATTCTCATCTGAGAATTCATTTTGCATTGATTCTCTTACCATCTGAATTCATGGAAATAGACAATAAAATCCTAGACTAGACTGTATGCTGTTCTTCTATGATGGTACTCCCGGATAGAAAATCATTAGAAAACTAATAATTACTTTTAAATACAACAAATATTTATTGTTGTTATGGCTGGGAGAAATGCTTCTTCAAAATTAAGTACCTTTTTTCCTTCTTTATAACCCTGATAGTATTGGTGCCATCCATTTGCTCTTATGAAGTCTATATGAAAGCCAAAAGATCATTGATAATGACAGATGTGGCAGCCCATTACAATAATTTTGGAAGTTATTCTGGATGTAGAGCAATATTCTGCTCATTTTGTATAAAAATAAAACCCATTTGTGCCTAAAAGAGACTTTCAAAATACCCACAGACCAAATATGATCTGAAGGGTGCCAGTGTGACAGTTCAACCTCTTGCTTCAGGCATTACGAAACTCTGAACATTGAAGGTACTGGTAAATCTCCTCCAGGTTTCAAATTTCTATTTAAGAAATACAAAAATTGCCACAAAAATACATACAATTTTAATAATTTATTTTAGAGGATCCTTCCTAGGATTAATGTAAGTCAATTCTGCTACTATTTTAGGCCTTTTCCTTTCAGATTTATTTTTAGCAGACTCTCCTGTGTTAACATTTTTTGATTCAACATATTCTAATTGTGCTGGGAAGAACAAAATTATAATATTTTAGGTTTGCATCAAGTTTAAGTTCCAAATCTCCCACCGATCAATCTCGCAATCTTAAATTAAATATCAGACCTTGCTAAATTTCAGTTTTCCCACTTAATGATGATGATATTCCTAATGCAAAAAGTGCTTATTACATGGTATTTTCTTATACATTGAAACTTTTCTCACCAACGTATATTTGACTAACCTAATTTGTTACCTTAAAATAATTTAATAAGAAAAATTTAAATTTGGTTTCAGTGACACTATTACCAGATAAATGCAAAAGTATCGTTCTACAAAAATTCCTCAATGGGGGATGGACATGAAAACCTAAAAGGGCAGTTGTTTGACGCTAAGGAAAAACATGATGACCTCATCACATTTCACATGCAGCTCAATTAAAATACTCAGCAAGGTGCCTGATCATTTTGTTTTACTACTGATGAATATGGATTTTTTTCACATTTACACAGGAAAATCTTACAAAGTTGAGTGAAAGAACATTCAATTTTTCCATTTTTTTATAGCTTTACTACCTAGATTTTGCAAGAATATTTAATAATTGTGTTCCATAATGAATTTTTGACACGTTCAAAATATATAGACACAGAGATTACTATTACAACATAACATGAAAAAAATCTAGTACAAGTTTGATTCAGGAAATCATCCTCTTAGCTATTTAAATAAGCAAGAACTTTTTCAATCATATACAAAGAAATTTATCAGTAAGGGTATGTTTTTAAAATATATTTTATTAGTTTAAGTTATGAATCATAATGCTAGATGTGGAATTCTTAAAACATTATATTTCAAAATCATGGCATTTATTAAAGGATAAATTTAACCATGTATCATATTAGTATAGAAAAGGCTATGTAAAAACAAACAATGAGTATTTTACATCACCAGCAGGCTTTTGATCAAAAGTAGAACTTCTGATTCATAGTAAACACTAAAAATGTATTCGCTAATTACAGAAGCACACAGGTATTAGCAATTTCTCTACAAAGGGATAGCACTTTACATAATTAATGTTTTCTTGAAATTAACACTGAAACACACTAGTGTTTCACTAATTACAGTCACTGGTCGATTCCTCTGTTAAAGAATAAACCCAATTCAATACATATTACTGAGTTCCTTCCATATCAAACCAAAAATACCAGATTCAGAGCTACAATCATTAGGGTTAGTAAAGCCATACAGTAGTTCCCCCTTATCTGTGGTTCCTCTTTCCTCAGTTTCAGTGAGCCACGGTCAACTGTGGTCCAAAAATATTAAATGGAATATTTTATAAATAAACAATAAGTTTTTAAATGAGCACCATTCTGAGTAGTATAATGAAATCTCTTGCCTTCTTGCTCCATCCCTCTCCAGACATGAGTCGTCCCTTTGTCCAGCATATCCACGCCAGACATACTCCCTGCTCATTAGTCACTTAGCCATCTCAGTTGTCAGATTAACTCTGGAGGTATTGCAGTACTTGGGTTCAAGCAAACCTTATTTTACTTCATAATGATCCCCAAAACAAGAGTAGTGACGTTAGCAATTCGGATATGCCAAAGTAAAGCCATAAAGCGCTTCCTTTATGTAAAAAGCTTGTGTAAATAGGAAAGAAAATGGTATATATAGAGTGTGATACTATCCTAGAATTCACAAGCCCACTGGGGGCACTGGAATATATCCCCCTGGGATAAAGGAAGAACCACTGTAATACTAGATACACTGAAATGCAAGTAAGTCAACCTTGGCTGCATATCAGAATCATGTAAGGAATTTTTTCAAAAATACCAAGGTCCAGCCTCTACCACTCCTCCCCTGCCAGGGCCCACTAAATTTTGATTCACCGGTATTTTATAAATGGCCTCTGCCTGATTCCAGTGTAGCCAATACACAAACCAGGGCTATCTGTTTTATAAGAGGGGCAGTCCAAGTATAAAAATTTACACAACACAAGCACACGTAACATAAGCAAAGTCCTTTTCCCTACCTTTCTCACCTCCCACAGACTTCAGATCCTTGCTGCTACTTTCAGAAAAAAGAGAGAAAGTTTGGGCCTTTTAGAGAATGTTTAGAGATTACAGTAAAAAAAAACTAGAAGAGGCTATGAAAAGCAGAGATAGTTTGGGGTACCTGCCCAATAGGGCTATACTGCCTATATTGTAGTTTCTGCTCACATGATTACATTTGCACCCGCTTTTTTACACTACCTGAAATTCCATCATTTATGGACTCAATTATTTTAACAACCATTCTCTTATAAAAATGGCCTAGGGACACCAGTTTCCCCTGTGAATCTGTTTAATAAGATTATTTTTCTTACTAACATCATGACAACAGCAGGCAGGTTTAAAGAAGGAATGTTCTGAAAGTGGAGATGGGAGGACAGACAGACATTCTGCAGTAGGAAACATGTAGGGAAGCAAGGCATATCTAAGTGACCTAAGAAGGCTTAGGGTTCAAAAAAGAACTAAAGTCAGTGAAAAAAAAGACAAATGAAAATATGAGCACCTGAGCTAATTAACCTTTAGGATCTCTTCTAACTCTGAGATTGTAAGAGCATGAAAATACTGAAGGCAGAGTCTCCCCCTCCACCTTTCCTTTCTGATGTAAAGGATCCTTCCACCTAAGGCACAGATCTCAGGTTAGTGAGGCTAACACAAGAATTTTACTATCTATACTTTGAACACTACAAACTATTCAAATACTGTTAGGACTATAAATCTTACTTTTAGGACTACACATTACTTATGATATGAGTGTGTCTGGATATTTTTTAGGTAGGCCACAAATAAATCTCTTCAGTAAACAGTAAACATTAACTATACTAGTTAACCAGCAGGCATTTAGTCTATCTAATGAACTACTGAATAAGAGTGAATTGCATTATTTTAAGACTTGTTAGACTAATGAGCCATCTTTACCACACGGAGCCATCTTTAGCTTAAAAAGCATCTTAAAATTGACACAGCTAAAGCAATACTTACAGGCCACCGTATAGCCATAAATACTTACATTTAAAAAAAGAAGAAAAGCTGCAAATTAATGAACTAAGCATTCATTACACAAGTGTTAAAAGTTTTCCACAAAGAAAAAAATAAAAACAGAAATTAACATCCATAACTGCTATTAGTAGTGGATTTAATGAAGAAATAAACAAGAAAATCAGGGAAATACAAAAGAAGCCTTAAGTATAACCAGAAACACTAATGAAATTAGAAACTCCACATTAATAGAAATTTCTTCCATGTTTTAAAATGCCCTTGCAAATCTGGTGAAAAAGTATATGCTTCCTCCATAAAATTGCAAGCAAACACAAACTTTTGCATAAAATATTAAAGGGCTCCAGGATCCCCTGACGCCCAGGTATGAAAAGAGTAAGAGTTTCAGATAAGGGTAAGTTCAGGGCACCCCAAAGTCAGTAAAGGTTAATATTAAAAAGTAAAAAGTTTAAATGTCATCTCTGTGAGATCGAAATAAAATGCAAACACAAAATTAAAAACACCACTACTACTACTAAGTTGACACACCCAGCAGTAAACTTTTCAATGCAGAGGCTTAAATTATATGAATCAAATCAAAAGAAAAACACAGGCCTCTAAAGAAACATCCTTTAAGATATACCTGAAATTGTACCTCTCTCATTCACCTTCCTAACCGTACTGCTCCCCAACCCAGAGCACTCTGTACTTCTATGACACAAATTCCTGACAAGTATCACAAACATCTGAGTGTGTGCCTCATTCCTTCATAGAAATTCAAGCTATTCCATAGGAAGTTAGTAACCTCACTTCAGGATTTTTGCAGTCCTCAAAATGGGTAATTGCTGCAGCCATCGAGATATCGGATCGGCCAAAGAACAGGAATCTTGGGAACCAAATGTTTTTTGGTATAGAAACAGGTCTACTTTGAAATAATAGATTTGCTCTCAAAAGAACACATATAATTAAAATTAATGTTTCTGCACTGCCCAGGAAGAAAAAGAACTGGAGAATTAGGGTATGTCGGTGTGGCAGTAAAAAAAAGGTAGGCAGATGTTTTGGAAAATAAGGAAAGAATAATTAAATAAATTCGGCATTTGGATAAATGAAATAATAAACCTCCAACCTGGGTGCTAATTTTAACAATAATCAAAGGTCCATTTTTTAATCCAACTACATTTTTACTTTTCTGGGTCACGTGGTTTAAGACATCAAAAGCAATTTTACTTGTGAAAATTCTCATCAGTTTCCTCCAGGTGTAAGAGGATCTCCTCGGCGCACTCTAGGGAGGGAGCACCAGTGATTTTCTCCTTCACGTTCTGAAACAACTGCCTCAACATCGCCTGCAGCATCGCCTGGTCCTCTCCCGAGAAATGGGCCATCGTCTGTCAAAAAATCAAAAGCCCACGCCCTTTACTCTGGGTCCGAGGAAACGCTGCTCATTGCGCACGCGCGCCCCCACCCAGCCCCGGCTTGCGTACAGCGCCGTTCCCCGGGAAACCGTGGCAAGCACTTCGGGGTGGGCCCCTGGCTGCCCCTGTGTCCAGCCGGAAAACAAATCACCTTACTTTGGGGAAGCCGGGGTCCGCGAGGCCCTGCCTTAGGTGCTCGTAGCGGCTGGTCTTCGGTACCAAAAGAGTTCAAGGTGCCTGCACGTAACCGCAAAAAACATCTCTCAAGAAGACTCAGAGAGGTGGGCTGAACGACGAACGTCAGCACTACGGTGACGTCAGCACGTCGGCGTGGTTTCCTAGGTGGGAGGGAGTACTATTAGATGACCTGCTAGGTTCTTGGAGGGTGTGTGCCCTTGCACTTCTTAATTAAGGGAGTATAGGTGGGAGGGTAAAGTGCGAAGGAGAAAGGTCAATAAAAGAAAAAGGAAGTGAAACTGAAATTGCCTGAAAATTTCAACTGAAGAGTGAATGGTGTTGATACGTTGCAATGCTCATTTCCTTTAACAGCTAATCCTACCCCTAACCCAGCACTTGCCCAGACCTTTGAAGAGGACGCCTTCATAATCTAACAGACACAAAAAGAAACTAAAGAGTACAACTCTGCAGTTCAGTTTTATAGTAGAGAAATGTGCCAGTGCTGTGGAAACCCAGAATCATCTTTTAATGCAAAGATGCAAAGGATTGGGACCTGAGAGAGCATAACAAATTCTGACACTTGAGTTAGTTTGAAAGAGGAGTTTGAAAGAGGAAGTAAGGAGCCTGGAGAAGTAAACAGGCCACATCTGAAATGGTCCTGTTTGACACATTTAGGGGATTAGAGATTTATGTTGCAAGTAGCAGGGCACAGATGAATTTTAGAGAGACTCCACGAGATAACCGCCTATAAAGCTAACTCTGCAGGAAGCTGCAATGGATAATCATTTTTCCTCACCCAGTTTTCAGTCTTGATAAATGCCCAGATGATGGTCATGTCCAAGTTACAATAAACCAACCCAAACCCAAGCCATGTTCATGTGGCGTGCCAGTAAATTCTCTCTTATCCAGCTTATTTTACTCCCCAGTCCAACATCTGATGTAATCTATTTATTAGCCAGGATCAATACACTCATGTGTATGCCATTGCTTACAGGGGCATAAGTATATGTCTTTGCTAGCCCTAGCAGCATGTTTCTCGGTAAAATGTATTCTTAATCTTCATTTCCTCATGACTACATAAAGAAAAAAACGTTTTAGCAGAGTATGCACACTTGTAACTTTATGTGTGGGTGAAGCTGCGCAACTCAATACATGTATGTGCATATGTCTGTGAATGAACATGCACAGAATCACCTGCAATGTGACAGCTACGTAGTAAGGTGAGGTGTATTGGCAACCCAGATCCAGGATTAATAGAGCCATTAGTGATGTGACTTTATGAAAAAACTGTTCTTTTAAAAATTCAGAACAAAATTAAAATACTCTTGATTTACAAAGTTTATGTGATCATGGAAAACTTAGTGTATGAAAACTGCTAAATGTCAGATTTATCTAATGGAGCTAGTTCCTAGACTCAGATATTCATCAAAGGCTTTTTCATCTACATGAATGTCCAGCAGAACCATTGAAATTCATAAAGGAACCAGAACAACTTTTTTGTCCTAAGTGTAGGATGTTTGTCATTCCTAGCTCACATTTAAAAAGCTAGGAAGTACCACTAAATCATTGTGATGACAAAAATGTTGCTATGTATTTTTAAATGCCTGGTTGGGAGAGGAGAGGAGAGGTGTGGAAATGAACTGCACAGTATGAAAACTTCTGTTTTAAAAAAAATAACATAGAAGAAAAATAACCTTAAAAGAATGCCTGAGATGCAAGAAGAAAAAGTAGGCCAAAAGGAAATGGGGGGCAGAGGGCGGGGAGACAATGCATTTAAGTAAATTTCAATAAATATTGTCTATATAAAAATAATAATATCTATAATTTAATTTGTAGATATAAATGCATAGTACTAAAAAGCTGTAAGCGACCATGTGTAAGTAGGAAGTGCAATCATAAGTTGAAGTATTCTGAAGTCCTTATATTTTTAAATTATATTTTATTTATTTTGCTACTACACATGTCCCAATTTTTCCCCTTTTGCCTCACTCTACCCAACAATACCCACACCTCAGTCAATCCCTCCACCATTGTTCATGTCCATGGGTCATGAATATAAGTACTTTGGCTAATTCATTTCCTATACTGAATTTTACATCCCCATGGCTATTCTGTAACTACCAATTTGTACTTCTTAATCCCTCATCTCTTCACCTGTTCCTCCTATACCACCCTCCCATCTGGCAACTGTCAAAACATTCCCCAAATCTACGATTCTGTCTCTGTTTGCTTAGTTTCTTTTTAGATTCAGTTGCTGATAGGTATGTATTTATTGCCATGTTATTGTTCATAGTTTCAATCTTCTTTTGTTTAAGTCTCTTTAACATTTCATATAATAGTGGTTTGGTGTTGATGAGCCCCTTTAGTTATTTCTTGTCCAGGAAGCACTTTATTTGCCCTTCAATTCTAAATGATAGCTTTGCAAGGTAGAGTATGTCTCTGCTTTTCATGACATTGACTGTTTCTTGCCAATCCCTTCTAGCCTGCAATTTCTTTTGAGAAATCAGCAGTCAGTCTTATAGGAACTGACCAGTAGGTAACCTTTCTCTTGCTGCTTTAAAGAATCTCTTCTTATCTTTAACCTTGGCATTTTAATTATGATATGTCTTTGTAGTGGACTTCTTTGCATCCTGGACTCTGTGCTCGTTTAGGACTCTGTGCTTCCAGGACTTGTATGTCTGTCTAGTCCTTCAGCAAATTAGGAAAGTTTTCAAATATGTTTCCAATGTCTTGCTCTTTCTTTCCTCCTTCTGGCATTCCTATGATATGAATATTGGAGCACTTAATGTTGTCCCAGAGGCTACTTACACTATCATCGTTTTTATTTTTTTATTCTTTTTTTCTTACTGTTGTTCACATTGGTTGTTTTTATCTTCCCTATTTTCCAAATCATTGATTTGATTCTCAGCTTCATCCACTCTACTGTTGTTTTCTTGTAAATTCTTCTTTTTCTAATTAGTGTATCCTTCGTTTCTTATTAGATCTTTTTTATGCTGTTGAGATCCTCAGTAAGTTCCGTGAGCATCCTTGTAACCAGTGTTTGAACTCTGCCTCTGGTAGATTGCTTATCTCCATTTCTTTTAGCTCTTTTTCTGGAGTTTTGATCTGTTTTTTCATTTGAGCCATGTTTCTTTGTCTCATTTTGGCAGCCTCCATGTGTTTGTTTTTATGTTTTAGGTAGAGCTTCTTCAACTCCATGTCTTGATAGTGTGGCCTAATGTAGTAGGTGTTCTGTAGGGTCCTGTGGCCTAGCCTCCCCTGTCACTCAAGTTGCATACTCAAGGTGTACCTTTCATTGGGCTGAGTGCACCCTCTTCTTATAGATGAGCCTTGACTGCATTTGGCAAGTCGATAGGAGGGATTTACCCAGGCCAGTCAGCTGCAAGGACTGGTTGTGACCACTGACCATCAACCTCTGTACTCCATGGAGGACCAGCTAGCTGTGTGGGGGCAGGGTGGTAGTGCTCTAACATGATCAACATGGTCTGTAGCTACCCACTGAGTACAAAGGCTCTGGTTTTTCCCGGATGGTGTACCTCAAGGTCATCCCACCTGTGTTCTATCATCTCAGGCCTCCTTGCCTGTGCTATAAAGCAATCTGAGATGGCTGTGACTTATGCTGAACTTGGAGATTCACAGGCATAGCCAAGCTGTGAATCTAGGCTGGCTGCTGCTAATGCTGGGTTTGGGGCCTCCTAACAAGAGGTATGGGGCCAGGAGGCTCACAGAGACTGAATGTTGCTTGTTTGAAAGGATTTAGGAATTTGTGAAGCATGAGGCAAGCATGACTAGCCATTCATATGGAAAAGTCACTGGGGTGAGTCCATAAGTTGGATGGGATAGAGTCTCTCCAGGGCTCTCCAGGGCAGGGCAAATAGTGTTAGCTGGGTTGATAGAGTCCCAGATATGGCACCCACCTCCCAGTTCTGTGGCTCTGCATAGGGAGGGTTCCTAAAAGGGACAATGGCCTCTGCCTGCCTTTTTACCTGGGAGAAAGCTACCCATGACTGCTCACCCTTGATGCCAGATATTTCGGTTCTTCCATGTACCCCACCCTTTGCCTTTCAAGCTGCTACCTTAATGCTGTAGCTCAGAGGGATTGAGTCTGTGTAAGTCTGTGCATAGGTTCTTTAAGAGAACTGCTTGGGACTCCAGAAGTTTCTTCCATTGACTCAATCCCCACAGGTTTTTGCAGCCAGTTTTGGGGACTTATTTTTGTGATACTGGAACCCTGGGCTGGGGGCCTGGTGTCGGGCTGGGACTCATCACTCCTGAGATATACCCCCCATATTTTTTTCCACATGTGGGAACAGCCAAGTTTGTGTCTCTGCCCCCCTACCAGTCTTGACTGATGTGGGTTCTTTAATTCTGCAGTTGTCAGACTTCCATTCAGTTTGATTTTTGGCATTTCTGAGTGATGGTTGTTCTATAGTTTAGTTGTAATTTTGATGTGGCTCTTCTAGGAGGTGAACCATGTTTATGTATGCCCCCATCTTGAACAAAAGTCCCACTTTTCATAAAGGAAGTTTAAAACATTAAATTTGGTTAGGTAGGCATGGTAAAATTTCTAATGTAACCATTAAAATGAGAATTTACACTTGAAAAATAGAGGGAAAATTAAATGAGAGAAAAAAGCCTCCCCCCAGTTGGTGTAGCTCAGTGGATTGAGCACGGGCCTGTGAAGCAGAGGGTTGCTGGCTCAATTCCCAGTCAGGGCACATGCCTGGGTTGCAGGCCAGGTCCCCAGTAGGGAACACATGAGAGGCAACCACACATTGATGTTTCTCTCCCACTCTTTCTCCTTCCCTTCCCCTCTCTCTAAAAATAAATAAATAAAATATTTTTAAAAAAATAAAAGAAAGCCTCAATCAATTTAACTGAAAAGTCATGAAAGAAAACAAAAACATAAGAAAAATAGAAAAAAATAAAATGTACAAAAATATGATACATAATAGAAAAAGTCTCAAATACTGATATGTTTAAATGAATTTAACCCTCCACTTTAGTGAGCTATCAGATTGAATTTTAAAATAGCCAAGCGCACAATCAAAAGTATTTTTATATAAGAATTTTAAATGACCTATTATTCCAAGTATTTCCTATAAACGTAAGA